GGCGGTGGCCGGGGCCATCTCTGGCAGGGTTATCGGGATCTTCTGGAGCCTCTCTGAGAAGGCGGCCAAGATTTGCCCGGCTTTTTCCACCCACTCCATGTGGCCGGAGTAAGAAGCCGCTCGGAGCAGGTTGGTGACGGCGACAGAGTTGGGGGTGGGCTCTGCTCCGTCTTGGTCTGTGGGGGACAACCCCTCCTCCATCAGCTCACGGCTTGGTCCTCCAGCCCGGCATCGCCCCTGTCCCCCCGCACCACAGCCCACGCAGGGCACGGCCGTGTCCCCAGGCTCACCGTCCTTCAGGCGCAGGAGCAGAGAGGAGTCACCAGCCTCGCTGGAGAAATACGCAGCGCCTTCGGGGTCCCAGAAGAGCTTGTCTTGCGTGTGCTGGAGCTGCAGGGCCCATTCCAGCCAGCCCTGCTCCAGTGAGGCTTCGTACAGGTCGAAGAGAGCCTGGATGACGAAGACGTAATCCTCCAGGAAGCCCTGGATGGGCACAGTGCTGCAGTGGCAGGCGGGGAAAAAGCATCAGAACCTCTACACTGGCCAGGTGGGAAATGTTCTCCAGCCCAGCAAAGCCCTACCTGCTGGTCTCTGCTACGTGAGCAGGTGCCACCTCAGAGCTCAGTCCAAGATGGTGGACTTGGCAATGGCTGCGCCAAGCCAGCGCACAGCTCAGCCCCAGGTTTCTGCACGGTCAAGCGGCAGCAGGGGAGGGCAGGGGAAGGCGTCTGCCAGCTCCGAAGATGAGGAGCGGAAAAGGATTTGACCTTCATTCCTCCTCCCTGGGTGGGGGGCACTAACCCACCCCAAACTGCACCAGAGGCAGCTCTGCACGAGGCAAACAGCCTCCCTCCCTCCGCCTTCGGCCCTGCCTGGAGCAGGGGGGCCGTGGACCCCCCGGCAGGGAGAGACGCTCTCCCTACCGCTGCTCACCTCTGCTCCACCGCGTCGTCTTCGCCGCGGTAGCAGCTCCGCAGCAACCTCCCGCTGGTGGGCTGGAAAAGGTGTCTCCGCAGGAAGGCAGCTGCCCGCGCTGCCCGGCTCACGTACCCCTGCTCGGCCAGGGCCACCCCAGCCTGGGCAAAGCCCGAGATCATCAGCCCTGCGTAGGCACAGGCACGGCGACAGGCTCAGCGCAGGGGGGACAGGGGCTGGGGGCGGGGGTCCCTGTCTTTCCTTCAGAGGATGCTCAGCACGAAGCTCAGCCTCCCTGACGTTCACGACAGGTCAGGGCTCAGTCATCAGCCCCTCCGCTCGGTTCAGACCACCAAGACGGTCACTCGCTGTCACCACAGAGAGGGGCACAGCGCCGCACGGCCAGCGAGAGCTCAGCCTTTGCTTGCGGGCAGAACTGGGCTTGAGGGAGCCCTGCTGTTTGCGGGATGCGGTGTAACTCCAGCTCAGACCGGCCCCAGCCCCCCCCCAGGCATTCACCGCTGGGACCGGTGCCTGGGGGCCTGCAGGACACCTGGGCGCGGAGCTGTGGTCCCCCCGCCAAGGCAGCAGCGGAGATGGGGAGACCCCGCCCGGGTCCTGAACCCCCATCCCCATCCCCAGCCCGGGGAGCCAGGGGAAGAGTTTTGCTGCTCTCTGCTGGCAACAGGGGAGGAAAATCAAACCAGTGCAGTGTCCCAGCCCTCAGCAGCCCCACGGCTTGC